TTGGGCAGCCTCAGAGCCCCGGAGTGGGAGAGCTGCCAACCATGGCTGCACAACCGGACAGATCTGCTTTTAGGCACCTGCCTCACTGTAGGAACAGCTGAGCTCTACAGACGCCAGGGGTGGTGGATGACAGCCCAGGAGGGAGAAGTCCCCGGGAAACCAGGGCGGATCTCAAAGCTAACAGGAGGAAATAGTGTGAGCCAAGGTGGCAGGGGTGGGGGGGATTGGCAACTGGAGGAGACACAATATGGGGAGTTACCACCTACAGATGCCTCCCAAACCCCGGGCTTTCACCCCATCTCCACTCCCTGCTCAATTCTTTTTTTTTTTTTTTTTTTTTTGAGATGGAGTCTCACTCAGTTGCCAGGCTGGAGTGCAGTGGCAGGATCTCAGCTCTGCTCCCGGGTTCAAGCGATTCTCCTGCCTCAGCCTCCCACGTAGCTGGGGTTACAGGCATGCGCCACCATGCCCAGCTAATTTTTATATTTTTAGTAAAGACAGGGTTTCACCATGTTGGCCAGGCTGGTCTCGAACTCCCGACCTCAGGTGATCCACTCACCTCGGCCTCCCAGAGTGCTGGGATTACAGGCATAAGCCGTCATGCCCAGCCCCCTGCTTATTTTTAGTACCTGTGCAGTGGGGAATTGATACTGCGGTTTTCAGTGTCACCCGCACTGCAGCACGGCCAGAATCACCATCCCGATTTTTGCTACAAATGCGAATTACTGTGTAATGAGCTCCTTAACACTTTTCTTTAAATCTGTGTTTGAAGTCTTGCCTTGGTGTGGCCCCATGCCCTAATATCTGTGAAATCACAGTGCCGATGAGCTGGTTCCAGGTTTTAAAACATACACATGCAGTACTTCCATGACTAGTCAAAGAAAAACAAATTCCACCCACTTGCCACCTGAGAGCACCACCAGTGGTGTGACCTGCCCCCCCACCCCCAGCTCCAGGATCCTGGGACAGGGCTTAGAAACACAACCACTGTAGTCAGCTCACCCGATCCACAGCCTGGCACCCGTGCTGTCTGGCTTGGGAGCCTCGAATGGGCTCCATGGCCACCCTGAGCCTCAGTTACATCATCTGCATAGTAGTGGCGGTGGTGAGGAATTCAGGAGATGCAGCGTAAGGGTCCTGCGGGTCCTAAGTGCTCAGTCAATGCCCGTGGTTCTTAAGGGTCTGAGCCCCCATTTTAGAGGCAAATAAGCTGAGGCTCAGAGACAGAAAATGACTTGCCCAAGATCACCCAGCTGGGAAGTGACAGTGCCAGGGTTGGAACGCTGGTTGAGCTGGTTCCACAGGCCAGAGCTCATTCTGCGTGCCCCTCCCAGAAGACCTCCCACCCTTTCTCCGTCCCTCTGCTTCCCCCTCACCCCACCTCCCCACTGCCTTCTAGGATTTGTGTGAGCCGCTGGAGAAGCAGCATGAGAAGGAGAGGAAACAGGAGGAGAAGGAGTCCTAGCAGGACACAGTCTTGGATCAGGACAGAGACTTGGGGGCCATCCTCCCCCTCCAACCCAGCACGTGTACCTCAGTTCTTTCCCTCACTTGCATCAATAAAGCTTCTGTGTTTGGAACAGCTCGGTTGTTAGTCATTTGTTCATTCATTCATTCTGAAGCCTGCCCTGAATTGGACCCTGGCTGGGCACTGGATAAGACGCTGTCCCTGGTGGAAAGAGCCTCACATGTGCCAGGACAGATGATGACAGGCACTGAGTGCTGTGGGAGGCCAGCACTGTAGGAAGATAATTTCTTCTGCAGGGTGGAAATCTAGAAAGACTTCCTGGAAGGGGCATCTGAACCAATCTAGAAAGATAAGGAGCATAATACAACCTGCTGTTCCTGTGTACAATGTGTGAAGATCAAATCAGGGTCATGAACATTTTCACCTCAGTTGCCATTTCTTAGTGTTGGGAACATTCAATATCACACAGTACCTATAGATATGTACATTATGTGTCCATTTAAAGTAATACAAGCAAAGAAATATAGCTTTTTTTTTTTTTTGAGACAGAGTCTTGCTCTGCGGCCTAGGCTGGTATGCAGTGACGCAATCCCACTTCACTGCAACCTCTGCTGCAAGCAATTCTCCTGCCTCAGCCTCCTGAATAGCTGGGACTACAGGCGCGTGCCACTACGCCCCACTAATTTTTGTATTTTTAGTAGAGATGGGGTTTCACCATATTGGCCAGGCTGGTCTAACTCCTGACCTCGTGATCCGCCCGCCTCAGCCTCCCAAAGTGCTGGGATTCCAGGCGTGAGCTGCGCGCTCGGCCCACACATGTGAATTTCTAAACTGAGACTACTGTAAGGCCTTTCTCCTAACAGCAAGATTGTAATAAAACTTTAGTCATGAAAAAACAAAAAAACTTTCTGTTCCTCCTGCAAGCAAGGAAATGAGAGGATGCATTTGAAAAACCTTGGGGCAGAAGACCCTAAACAGGAGTGGAGGTGTGATATGGTTTGCCTGTGTCCCCACCCAAATCTCATGTGGAATTGTCACCCCCATGTGTTGGAGGTGGGTCCTGGTGGAGCTGATTGGGTCATGGGGGTGGTTTCTAATGGTTTGGCACCATCCCCCCCCCAGTGCTGTTTCTCATGAGATCTGGTTGTTTGGAAGTGCGGAGCACCTCCCTCTTCGCTGGCTCTCTCCTGCTGCCTTGTGAAGAAGGGACTTGCTTCCTCTTTGCCTTCCACCATGATTGTAAGTTTCCCAAGTCCTACCAGTGGTACTTCCTGTTAAGCCTGAAGAACTGTGAGTCAATTAAACCTCTTTTATTTTTTTTTCATAAACTACCCAGTCTCAGGTAGTTCTTTATAGCAATGTGAGAACAGACTAATCCAAGGTGGATGGGGTGGGGAGAGTTCATGGCATATGGTGCCAATCATAAGGACTTTATTTCACTATTACCATGACCATTGGGGGGCACATTGGGGGACCAGGCTGGAGGCAGGAAGGCCTAAGTGAAGGCTGCTGTGGACATCCAGTCCAGAGGCGGTTGCCTGGCCAGGCAGGGCAGGGAAGGGTTAGAGTGATGGAGAGGACTTGGGGCCCAGGCCAGACGGGCTGGGTGTCTCCATGGAGGTGTCCTCCATGGAGGATGCCCACCTGGGAGGCCCAGAGGAGGCAACACTTAAGGGTGAGGCCAGTCCCTGGAAATCAGCTGACATCTTGCAAATGTAGAGCCCCGAGGTGGAGCCAAGCCCAAGACACGACCCACTCAGTGACACATGCCACGAAGGGCTGGCCTCACCCAGACCTCGGGGCTCACGATGGACAGCCTCTTGTTACGTGAGGGAAGCAGCACCCTTCCAGTGGCAGAAAAGTTGGGCTGAGTTGTTAGAGCAATTCTGCGTGTGCAGCTGCCTATGCCACCCAGGGTGACAGGACCATTAGCCCAAAGCCCTGACACTCAGGGGTCCAGTCCTGTGTCCTCAGGTACCACTCCCCTTTGTATCTCCTGTCCCAACAGCCAAGCTCCACAGGCCCAAGACCCCAGCACCCTTTGCTCAGCACCCAAACCACTGCTGTGTCCACAACACGGAGGCTAGGGATGCCGTGCTGATGTCCTTAGAAGGCAAGTGGACAAAGCAGCCTCTGGGGCCCCAGAATGGCCTGAAACTGAAGGTTCAGAACGTACAAGAACATGGGGGTGGTTTCTAATGCTTTAGCATCATCCCCTGAGTGCTGTTTCTCATGAGATCTGGTTGCTTAAAAGTGTGTAGCCCTTCCCCCTTCGTGCTCTCTCTCTCTCTCTCTCTCTCTCTCTCTCAATCTCTCTCTCTCCTGCTGCATTGTGAAGAAGGGACTTGATTCCACCATGATTGTAAGTTTCCTGAGGTCTCCCAGCCATGCTTCCTGTGAAGCCTGTGGAACTGTGAGTCAATTAAACTTCTTTTTAAAAAATAAACTACCCAGTCTTTTCCATTTCAGTATTACCTTCAGTGAGACACCATTTTCAACCCTACTGAGGAGGATCTGCTGAAAAAGGAAACAGAAATGAGTCGTGGTGGGCAGGACAGGGAGAAGCGAGGGAGGCGAGAAGTGAAGGTGGAAGGAAAACCCACAGAAAGCAGCAGTAGGAGGTGAAGAGAAAAAAAATCATGGGGGTATAGGAAGCAAAAAACATACATTACAAAGAATGTGGACTTTGGACTCAGACCAATGTGAGTTCAAACCCAGGCTCTCTCCCGAACCAGTCTGGGCAGATGGCCCAGTGGAACCTCTCTCCTCATCAGTAAAAGGGGGGGCATGGTAGGGTCTTGAGGGCTAGCATGTGGGCTGTGTGAAGCAGGACAGGCCCAGCGCTTAGCACAGGGATCAGGGGCTAGGAGGTGCTCCCTAAATGGCAGCTGCTGTTCGCTGTTGAAGGAGCACTGGGGAGAGTCAAGGTCCACACTCTCATAGATGCCAACCCAACGTGAGCCACATCAACATCTTCGGCCTCAGTCAAAAGGGACTTGGCTAGGCAGCCCTACCTCAAAGCCCCCTGCAGCTGAAAGATTTATGATTCTTAGATACGCAGATGGGAAAAACTGGAGAAACGGAAGCCACCAGAGGGAGGCAGGCAGGCACCCAACAGGTCTCCTGGGAAAGAGTTGGGCTGGGCATCAAATCTTCCACCCCATAAACTTGACTTTAGAAGGCAAAAGGTTTTTTTGTTGTTGTTTTTTGTTTTTTAGATGGAGTCTCACTCTGTCACCCAGGCTGGGGTACAGTGGCCCGATCTCAGCTCACTGCAACCTCGGCCTGCGGGTTCAAATGATTCTCCTGCTTCAGCCTCCCGAGTAGCTGGGACCATAGGCACATGACAAAATGCCCGGCTCATTTTTCTACTTTTAGTAGACACAGGGTTTCACCACGTTGGTCAGGCTGGTCTCGAACTCCTAACCTCGTGATCTTGCCACCCCAGCCTCCCAAAGTGCTGGGATTACAGGCGTGAGCCACCATGCCCAGCCTAGAAGGCAAAGTTAATGACACACACCACAGACACACATGGCTCTGGGTATTTTTTTTGTCTTCTTTCTTTTTTTTAAGATCAATATTCATTCTTCATTTGCCCTTGTAACGAAAATAGATTTTTAAATGCCTCAAATATACAAACATCATTGATGCACACACATTCCAGAAATGCAGAGGTATGTGCTGCCATGGGGTGGGGGTGCGGGAGGCAGCCTAGCCTTATGGCCACAGACCGTGCCCCAGCCCAGGCTTGGCAGGTAGCTGGCCACTGATAAATGCCACTGGGATCCTAGGAGAAGCTGGGGACCTTGCGTGAGGTACTGAGAGGGACTACAGTGGACGGCGTCCTGGGTGCTTTGTAGCTTGCCTCCATCCCAGCAGGCCTGCGGGGAAGGCCTCTGCTGCCATGGAGAAGCTGGAGGCATGTCAGCCTGGGGCTCTGACATCGTAAAATGCCCCACTGACTGCCAGTCACTAGGAGAAAGGTCTCCAGCTGTGCCCTTCCAGAGGTGCTTGCCCCAGAGTGACTGGTCACATGGGGGACAGGTGTGCTCCAGAAACCGTACGCCTTTCCTTTCTTGTCTGGCCTCCTAAGGAGGACCCAAGATCAGGAAAACTCCCCAGTTTAAAAAAATATCTGTCCATCTGTATATAAAATGCCTATTATTAGCTGCAGGTGGACACGTGCAGGACTAGGAGAGACTGTCAGAGGCTCTGCCCGGACGTAGGCGGGCCTCGCTCACAGCACCTCTGTGAGGGGCAGGTGCTCCTGGAAAGTCACATCTCTTGGTGATTGAGCTGGCACCCCCTCCACTCGGAAAGCACAGGGACTGAGCAGGCGGGGTCTGTGCTGGAGGGATACTCTCCTGGTGAGAAACTATGCGGGCCTTCCGGGCCTCAGCAGCTCCAGCCCGCGCCTGGCCTGGCAGCCACCTGCCCACCCACCCACTCATCTGTCTCTGGGCCCCCAGTGAAGTCAGAAGAGGCAGGAGCCCCGCAGGCTGTGAGCCTGGCGCAGGTCGGCGGACAGCGAGCGGCTCATCTGCCTGGTGGTGGAGCGGACGCTCTCGGCAGCCTGCACGGCCCGGCTCAGGGCCTTGTTGAGCTCCTCCAGGTCGCCCAGGTCGAGCTGGATGGAGTGCCGGTGCCCCTGGGCTGGCGGGGGAGAGGCTGTGGGGGGCCACTCGGCGGCTGGTCGGGCTGAGGTAGGTCCTGCGGGCGCATAGTACCTGCAGGGAGAAGTGAGTGGGCTCATTACACGTGGGGAGGCTAGGGACGAGCCAAGGAGCACCGCGTGTGGGGTCAACCCCCTTCTACATCCCAGCTGGGCCGCTGGGCCCTACTCTCTGGGTCTCTCAATTTCTCTACCTCTAAAATGGGAATAATGGGCACACATTAAGGGATTTCTTGGAAAGATGAAGGAAGATAACAACACGTGTGCCTGACCCAGAACAGGTGTTCCAGGACAGGAAGTTCAATCCACCTGTTCATCTCACAGTGATTGACTGCCCATCTAGTGTGCCAGGCTCTGGGGTTACAGTGGGACGAGAAAACATGGACTCCTGCAACCTTCTTGGAGCCGGATCTTGGGAAGCCCAGGGTCACCCCAGGCTTGACAGCAAAGCCCCCTCATTGGAGAATATCTGGGAGTTCCATTTGCCAAGCATGGGGTGCTGGAGAAAGGCAATAATAGTAATAATAATAGGAATTCTGCAGGAGCGGGAGGGTCTGGCCCCAGGTATCCTGGGAAGGGAGGGGAAGGACATCCTTCCCAGCCCAGTCCTACAGGAATGTGGGGTGTGGTTTTAAAGTGCTGTGGGAATGAGCTGACAAGCCTATTGAGATGAAGCACGGATTTCCTTAAGAAGTGACAGTGGCATCTATCAGGGCCACTAAGTTTAGGGTTCCAGGAAACCAGCAGTGGGAAGAGGGGGTGTGGCCTCTGCATTGTTGAATAAAGCATGTGTGGCAGGGGAGGGTGATAAAGGGGCACAAGTTTAGGAGGCCTTGGCGGAGTCACTCACTGGCATCTCACTTGGCACACTGTGAAGTCTGGCTTTACTCCTGAGCACCCACTTTCTAAGTTACACTACTGTCCAGTGTGTAACAACAGATGATCCAAACAGACATTCCTCCAAAGGAGACATTCAAACAAACGATACACACGTGAAAAGATGTGCACCATCAGCCAGCAGGAAATGCAAAGTGAAACCACTCCACACACCTAAGCTGGCTAAAATCAAAAAGGACAGATAGCGACCAGTGTTGACAAGGGTGTGGAGACACTGGAACCCTCCGCACTGCTGGTGGGAATGTAAACGGTGCAGCCGCTGTGGAGGACAGTCTGGCAGTTCCTCCAACAGTTGAACCCAGAGCCTAGCCCAGGTACCCAGGTACCACCTGGTGCCTTTATCTTTATTTTACAGATGAGCAAAGTGGAGCTCAGAGACGCTAAGTGAGTCAGGAGGCAGAAGAACATGCCGGCCTTAGCAGCTCAGGCCCTGGCGGCCCACCCCAAATGCCAATCATTCTGCTAGGCTAGCCATGTGACTCTGGACAAGCTAAGTCACTTTGCAAGGCCTCTGTTTTCCCACCTAAAACAACCACAGTTAGCAACCTCTCAGTTCAGAGCCCATGGAAAATTCAGGTAAAAAGCCTGGCACTTCCAGGCCACGGTAAGTGTTCTATAAATGTGAGCTCCTAAGACCCAGGGTCAGAGAGCTGGAAGGGGCAGCCATGGGTTCGCACCCAGCCCTGACTCTCCCCGTATCTCTAACCTGTACTAACTGGCAAGCAGCAGATGTTGATAAAAATAATCTGAACTGAATGAATGGGCTTCCCCGATCCCATAAACAGCAGCCTGCACTCCTTCCTCTAGGGATAGTCTGGTGTAAGTAACTACAGAGGCTCCTCAAATTACAAGGGGGTTACGTCCCTATAAACCCACCGTAAAGTCGAAAAATCATAAATTGAACCATTGTAAAAGCGGGGACTGTCTGGACTGGGTTCTCATACACCCCCACCTTCTGTTAATTTGATGGCCAGCTTGGCCTGAAAGTTACCCAAAACTCTCCCTAGGGCAGACACTGAAAAAGTCCCTCTGGGCTGGAAAGCCTTGGCTGCAGGGCCTATGGGGCAGCTGCCCAGCAGGGGGCAGCACAGGCCCACTCCACTTTCCAAACTGCACTGGCCTCAGCCACTGAGCCCGCTCAGTCCTGCTGACCAGCAGCTGGAGAAACTTCAGGATGCCACCAGCCCACATTCTAGCAGCATTAGAAGCACCATTGTCATTGGCCAACTTCTATGTATTATGGGCTTTCCATGCATTAATTCATTCAATCCTCACCACAACCCATTTTGCAGAGGAGGAAACTGAGGCATAGGTATAACCCACCCATCCTAACTTGGAAACAGCAACCTGGTTAGTTCTGCCTACAGGCCAGAGCCTGGAAGAATGTGGAATGGGGCCTCGGGAGAAGTAAAGACTCCATGGTGAATTCCAGGCAAAACCTTTCCCGCCCAATGAGTCGGAACATGGGCAGGCGTTCTCCCCCATGTCTGCTGGAGGTCTGGGCATGCGGCACGGGGCCTCAACGTTGCTGGAGTGGAAGATCCCTTAAGTACTTGCTCAGACTCAGCTAAGAGGGCAGCAAGAAAGGACATTTACAGACCAGGCATGATGGCTCGCGCCTTGTAATCCCAGCTCTTTGGGAGGCCAAGGTGGGCAGATCACCTGAGGCCAGGCGGTCAAGATCAGCTTGGCCAAAGTGGCAAAACCCCTTCTCTATCAAAAATACCAAAATAATTAGCCGAGTGTGGTGGTGCATTCCTGTAGTCCCAGAGGCTGAGGCATGAGAATCGCTTGAACCTAGGAGGCAGAGGTTGCAGTAAGCCAAGATGGCACCACTGCACTCCAGCCTGGACGACAAATCAAGACCCTATCTCAGAAAATATTCATAAATAAAAAAAATTTTAAAGCACATTTATAGGCCTGGTCCCCGAATAGAGAACAGGGCTGGATGGCGCCTGGGGTCCCTGCTCCACCAAGCACCAGCCCTCCCCGTGACTCAGGCCCTCACTGCCCACACTTACAGGCTTCTGGCAACACAGGCACTGAAGGTGTCAGTCCCAATCGACCCATTTCCCAGCAAGAGAAGCAGGCAGAGAAGCAGCTGCTGACAGCTGAAGACAAGAAGATAGGTTTCCTACTTCCGGGGTCTGGGTTTTGGTCCCCTGCACAATCCTATCATCTTGAACCCAATTTTACTCCTTTTTCTTCCTATTAGTGACCAGGCTGAGCAATAGCAACATTCTCTGGGATGGCAAAGCTACTGTGTGCTCAGGAGGGAGCATGTGCTCACCCGGCACCACAAACTCCACATACATCTCATCCAGCTCCTGCCCTGTGCCGCACTCAATCCTCACACACAGAATTAAATACACGGTTCAGATTCTTCCCCCATTTAACAGATGGGGAAGTTGAGGCTTGGAGAGGAAGTGACTTTGCCAGGGCCACAGTGCTACTAGGGGGCAGATGGGACTCCAACGTCACTCTGGCCAGCTCCAAACCAAGCCACTTCCGTCTTGGCTTCCCTGCCTCTCCTGGCTTGACTGACGTTATGTCCAGAATCTATGCAAAAAGTCCTACAATATACCCGACCAGGACTCCTCAAAGCTGTCCACGTTATCAAAAACAAAGAACTGTGGGAAACTGTCACGGCCGAGAGGAGCCTAATGAGGCATGACAATCACACACCATGTGGGACTGTGGATGGGATCTTGGGATAGAAAAAGGGCTTTGGAGGAAAACGGAGGAGGCCTGAATAAACCATGGACTTCAGTTTCTAATAATGTATGAACAGTGCTTCACTGGCGTAGCCAATGTGCCGATGTAAGATGTTAACAACAGAGGAAACTGTGCAGGAGTGAGGAGGTGTGTGGGAATCTCTCTAGACTAGCTGCTCAATTTCCTTATAAATCAAAGCTGTTCTAAAAAATAAAGTCTATTTAAAAAACAACAGTGGTCATCACTTACTTGCTGAGAAAACCCACAAGGAAAAGGGAAGATGGTTAGGATTCTCAGTCTCCACAAAGTTAGAAGCTCCCAGAGGGCAGAGCCCTCCCTCTTCCTGGTTCCCTTCACTGCTGGTCCCAGGGCTAAGCACTCTCCTTAGTACTTGGGTTTGTTGAGTGACTATGTAAGTGCTGGGCTCCTGCTGCGTATTATCCACGCAGCAATAAAACACAGGAGGAGTGCACTGCATCTCAGCCGCCCCACACAGGTCTGAATGCTAACATATTCAGTGAGCTAAACAAAGGGGCTGGGAAGGTCGGAATGAAAGGCTCTTACACAGCGGCTGGTGGATAAGGCATGACAGGCACCGAGGAGATGTAGGCAAAGGCCGGAGGGGCTGGTGCTGGGGGTGCAGCCGCCAGGTACCACAGTCCAGGGGGTGGGCATGGTGACGACCCCGCCTGCTTGCCCCTCTGCTTGGGGCTGGGAGTTGACGGTGCTTTTCTTCTCGTGGTGGCCTTCTCTGCCCCTACCAGGGAGGGAAGAGCAGAGAGAGACAGAGTCTGACCACTTGGCCAGATGCAGCCAAAGATGCAGGGTCCACCCAGCCCTTCCCACGTGAGAGCCAGACAGGCCCTCCGCTGTGAGACTCCACGCTGGGGAGGCCTCTCTTTGGGGAACAAATCCTCTGCCCCGATTGCTCTGTCCCAGACGGGGAGAGCAGCCGCCCCAGCTAAACTCACCCAGGTCCCCAAACCCTGGTCAAGGAGAGCTGAGGGTCTGGCTAAGAGAAGAAATGAAGCGTTTGTCCCTACCAGAGGTGGCTGAGCCTGGGCCATCTGCCTCCAGGGGAGACCCAACTCGACCACACAGGGGACACTGAAGGGTATCAGCAGGAGGTGGTCCCAGTGGGTCTCCTGTGGCAGCACCGCCTGGAAGAGGAGGGAGAGATGTCAGGGGAGGATTACGTCTAAATCATCAGATCGGCCTTCTGCAGTGGACTCCTCAGGTCCACTGTGGAGGGGACAGGCTGCCTCCATCTGGGTGACGATAGTGACCACAACCATGACAGTGAGAGCAAGCATTTGATGAGCCAGGCCCTCTCATTATTTTATCAAATCCTACAAGCCATTGGGCTAGCTACTGTCTTCCTCCTCCCCCCGCCAACTTTACAGATGGGGAAACTGAGGCTCCATGACATCAAATAATTTGCCAAGGTCTCAGAGCTGGGAAGCAGTGGTCCTTGGATCGTAAGCCTGGGCTCTCCCAAATGCAGCCCACCTCCATTTCCCCCTACCCACAGTGAGACAGACCCATTCTCCACCTGTCAGTGTCCCAGAACACGCCCCGGGGGAACCAGGGATGTTAGTAGAGGCCTATGGGAGCAGAGGAGAGTGGGCACCATTGTTCTCTTCCCACACAAATCCCCAGTGCCACACCTGGGTGAGTTCCAGGGCTGCTCTGTTTCTCTTTCATGCCTTGGCTCAACCACCACTCCCTCTGGGAAGCCCTCCCACCCCGCCAGGCAGAGTCAGGCACCCTCCAGCCCTGCTTGTGTTCGCCTATCCCACCTCTGGCCACTCTGCCTTGTGTTCCTGGGGGACAGGGCCCAGGGCCCCATCGGGATGGGTGCTGAAGGAATGAATGAATGAATGCAGGACTCTAATGCTAGCACAGGTAGGGCATAGTGGTAAAGAGGTGGGGCTCTGCAGTCACAAAGACCTGGGTTCAAATCCTGTTTCCACCACCACTTGTAAGCTGTGAGCTGTTGGGCAAGTTACTTAATCTCTCTGAGCCTTGCTGTCCTTGCCTATAACATGGATATAATAGTACTGAGTATTTACTTCACAGAACTGTGAGGATTAATGTATGCAAAACCCTTAACATGACACCCTCTATACAGAGGGACTTAATAAACAGCAGCTTGTTATCATCAGTCATTATCATCACCATTGCTTGAAAAGGCCTAGAAACCATCTCTTCCAATCCTTTCATTAGAGATGTGGTGGCCAAGGCACAGAGAAGTCAAGGAACTGGCCTAAGGTCATGCAGCAAGTCAGTGGCGGAACTGGGACTAGAAGCCATTGCCTGAATTCTCTGATCTCTTGGGCAGATCCAGCCACTCCTCCCTGTGGGCTTGGGGGAAAGTATGAGGGGCGAAGGGAGGGTGGAGGGGAGAATAAGGCGTAATCACTGACGCCAGTTCCCCTGCTGCCTAGAGCCCATCTATCAGGACCCTTCGGGAACTTGTTAAATCAAGGAGGTGGCTTCAGGCAACAGCGCCTGGAGCAGCAGATGAGATGACAGGACACCCAGAAAAATCCTGTTCCCTGGTCTGTCCCTGTAACCCACTGCTGAGTTCAGGGCAGGCCAGATCTGGTCCCGTGCACACTTCCCTGAGGGCAAGAAGCTGCAGTTGCGGCTGCCTGGGACAGATTTCCAGGTACCATTCCTTACCTGCATTCTGGGTCCTGACGGGCCGGCAGTGGGGACAGGAGACTGTGCCATTGCCTTTTGGGACCGCCTTAGGGGACAGAACATGGTATTCGTGGCCTGGGGAAAGGAATCAGAACTGTCAGTATCAGCCCTCTAGATGATGCAAAATTGAGGAGGATTCTGGAATAATGATCTTTTTCCTCTTCCTCCAAATGGTTATAATAGTCTCTGTGTCTCTCTCATGTGCGCACCTGTGAGTGTGCATACACACATCATGTGTAAAATATGTATATATATGAGTATGACTGACATACATATACACATATATGTCAGCACACATTTTTGTGTCTGTTTATTGCAAGCTTTTTCCAGATGCCTATTCTGTTTCATCTCAGATCCCAGAACCAGATGACATCCAGTAGCAACCAACACACCCAGGCTAAGTCAGGACTGGAAGGCAGGCCAGGAAGAAATGATAAGCAAAGCAACAATAAGAAATTAACAAGTGATGCTGTTCCCCACACCCCAACTTGCTGGTTTGGATCTAATGGCTCGGGAATGGGGTCAGTGGCGTTTTCACCTCCATGCTGAGTGGCCGTAATGTGTGGATAAACGTAGCGCCCATTTCACAGGCCTGTAGGGAGGACTGAATGGGGCCGTATCCACGCCGTGCTCCGCCCAGTGCCTGGCAGATGTAAAGCACTTGATGTTATGAGAAAGCTGGATGGACTGTGGCCTTCTCACCCAGCCCACCACCTCCTGCCTATCCATCCCTGAGCTTTAAACAAGGCCTTCTATGTGACACCTGAAGCCACGGTGGAGAGGTCTCATCATCTCATTTCCCTCCTGTGCTGTTCTGGCTTTCTGGCACTGAAGGTCACTGCTATTATTTTCCCCACGCAACAGATGTGGAAACTGAGGGTCAGAGAGGCTCACAGCCACTTTCTGTGAGACTGACTTCAGAGTCCGGTTTTGACTTGTATACTGTCTTCCTCTCATTGTGTTAGAAGCACTTCTCCAGGTTGAGCTCACCTTTAAGGGTTGAGATCACCTTTAAAGGCTGCGCAAAACCTCATCCAACAACATCATCTCTCTTTCCTTTTGCTAGTAAATCCACAGAGAGGTTGTCCGGTGAGCTGGGAGGCGCTCCTGCAACTCTCGCTTCTAACTCCTTGGTCTCTGTTGACTCCCTCACTATGCTCCATGGAGCCGAGATGTGCCTCTGCCTTCCTGCCTTGTCCTCAGAATCTGAGGTCAGCAGCCCTCCCTCCTCCGCAAGGTGTCAGTGAGAGATGTTGCCTTTACCATAATTACCTATTGGTTATCGTCTTCTCTGCTACACAGTCAGATTCATGAAGGTGAGAACCATATACATATACATATATATATATATATATATATATATATATTTTTTTTTTTTTTTTTTGAAATGGAGTTCCACTGTCACCCAGGTTGGAGTGCAGTGGTGCAATCGCAGCTCACCGCAACCTCTGCCTCACAGGTTCAAGCAATTCTCGTTCCTAAGCCTCCCAAGTAGCTGGGATTACAGGTGCCTGCCACCTGTGCCTGCCACCACACCCGGCTAATTTTTTTGTATTTTTAGTAGAGACAGGTTTTTGCCACATTGCCAGGCTGGTCTTGAACTACTGATCTCAGGTGATCCTCCCGCCTTGGCCTCCCAAAGTGCTGGGATTACAGGCATGGGCCACCATGTCCGGCCCATATATTTTTTTTTTTAAATGTTAAGCACTTGAAATGCTACCATGTGTCATCTCAAGTCTACTCTGTGCCAGGTGCCGACTTCCTGAGATACAGGTGCCCTCTGGAAATGAGAACTTGAAGGAAGCCAGGTGTACTCAATGGTATATGCAAATGGTATACCCAAGTCAGTGTCCACCCTGTATGCTCTGAGCTGGGAAAGAGCAGGTGATCAGAAACTAATTTAGGATCGACCAGCTGAACAGACTTCCCAGAACCAAGCGTGGGCCCTAGTGAAGGGGAGGCATCAGAAAGCCTTTGCTGAATGAGTGAATGAATGAATAAACAAATGCACAGAGATTCATGAAGACAATGCTTCCTGCTGGTTTTTATATCATGGAACAGACAGAAAATGATATTTGAATGACCCACTGGGCATATGGAAAAAGCTTCTCATAACAGAGGAGACCTCCGCCCCCACCAGAGGCTGCACCCATCCCGGCCCTCCCTCCTGACCTACCTGTGTATTGGCCCCGGAAGGTGACCCTGTCTGACCATCCAGCACTGCCACCCCCACTCTTTCTGTCCCGCGCTGCCCGTGGACTGTCCTCAGTGGTCCTGCTCTTCTCAGAGAACAGTGGCCGGGGGGGCAACTCAGAGTCTGAACCTGGGGTGGAAAAAGTAGGGCATCAGAGGGGGCAAGGGGTGGGGGTCACATACCTCAAGGAGTGGGTGTATCATGAGTTCAGGCTCTGGGGCGGATGTCTGGGTTTTAATCCCCAATCTGCCCCTTAGGAGTAACAGCTGACATTTCCAGAACCCTGCCCCCATGCCAAGCGCTAGTCTAGACACTGTGTGTGCTGTGTCGGGTGCCTTCACAGCAATCCTATGAGGTGGACACTTTATAACTACATGGTGAGCTGTCCCTTTAACTGCTCAGAGCAGGTAAACAACTCGGCCAAGGACAAGTGGAGGGAGCTCGGCTGATCCTGGCTACTGACTCCAGGGCCTGGATCCTTCAGCACGTCCCCCCCGCTCCCTGGGCTTCGGCATCCTTATCTGTGGAATGTGGATAATACGACCATCTTGCAGTGGAGGTTAAGCAAGATGGCAGCTACAAAGCCCTTACAGACCCCCTGCACACAGTAGGTGTGCCGTACATTAGAAGTGCACTGTGCTGGTGGGGCGCGATGGCTCACACCTGTAATCCCAGCACTTTGGGAGGCCAAGGTGGGCGGATCACCTGAGATCAGGAGTTCAAGACCAGCCTGACCAACATGGAGAAACCCCGTCTCTACTAAAAATACAAAAATTAGCCAGGCCTGGTGGCACATGCCTGTAATCCCAGCTACTTGGGAGACTAAGGCAGGAGAATCACTTGAACCCAGGAGGCGGAGTTTGCAGTGAGCCGAGATCGGCCATTGCACTCCAGCCTGGGTGACAAGAGCAAAACACTGTCTAAAAAAAATTGAAGTGCACTGCGCTTCACAGCACTATGATATCCTAAAACAGATGCACAAAAACCCTTCTCCAAGTTTCCTTGAATGCTGTTGCTGTGGTCCCTGACCACTGAGCCAACATGCTCAGACTGTGGCCTCCAGAAATCGGCCTTGGCAGGTGGTCACTTACTCAGGGACAGTCGGGGCACCTCCCGAGGCACTGAGGAAGACCTGGCTCGCCGCCTTCCTGCGGAAACCGTCTGCTCTTCACCTCTAGGCTCACCGGACAATCTCTCTGTGGATTTACTAGCAAAAGGAAAGAGAGATGTCATTGGACGAGGTTTTGTGTGGCCTTTAAAGGGATTTGTGAGAAGCTCAGCCTGGAGAAATTCTTCTAACACAATGGAAGGAGAGTATAAAAGTCAAAGCCAAAGACTCTGAAGTCAGTCTCACAGAATACGGCTCTGAGCCTCTCTGATCCTCAGTCTCCCCATCTGTCAAATGGGGATAATAAGAGCAATTACCTGAGGGTTATGAAAAGATGAATGAGAAAATGTTCATAAAACTCTTCATCGAGTGCCCTCCCATAGAAACACTCAAAAGAAGCCAGCTGATTTTATGTTATCATCATAAATGAACCAACACCAAATTAGTGGGTGAGAGGGTAGGCATCCTGGCAATGTTCTAACTCTTTGGCTGGGTGGTGGGCCCAGGGATATTCATTGCATTGTTCTCTATTGTTAACACAGAGGTTTATATATTTTTCTGTGCATCAAATCCTCCACAGTGAACAAATGGAACAGTGAATGAATGAATGAGTGAATGAGTGAATGAGTGAGAGAGGGATGTGACAGTGCTTGAGTCCATATGTCTGGGGACAGCCAGAGGCCAGCCAAGACTATCTTCCATGGCTGCCACCAGGACACAGAGGTAGGAGTTTTGAGGTCACCCACCTGCCATAATGGGAGCCCCAGGGGGCTGGGGAGTCCGCTGGCCGGCCGCGGGTCCGGGTGGGGCGGTCAAAGGCAAACGCTGGGTGAGTCGGGCTGTCCTGGGGTGCCCGATGCAGGCTGTCCTCCAGCCGCAGGCGGAGCCGGGACACCTCCTCTTGCAGCTCACGGATGGCCTGGCTGGGGTAGGAGTGGACACAGAAACAAAGAACAGAGGCATGGGGAACCGAGCTGCAGCCACCCCAGAGGGTGCCAGGACGCAGCAGCCTCTGTCCCGTCCCAGCAGGCACAGGGTCTAGCTCTGCTGCCAAATGATTCTAGAACTTTCCTGTGCAACACTTTTCTTGCACACAACTTGACATCCTTTCTGAGTTCATGTCCCTGTGCATTCAGTGAACAGAACAGAACCTCTGAAGTTTCCCCTGCGTGACATACAGGGTCTGAATAGCTATCCAGAAACACCAGTGACAAATTCCTGAGCTGGAGATGAGGACGCAGGAGAGAGAGGGCCCTAGCTACAGTTCACTGTAAAACACCAACCTTCACTCTCTGTCCAGGCGCAGCTCCTTTCCCTACCACTGTGCAAGCCCGTCCCTCCAGACCTAGCAGAAGATGCTTGTCCACTGTCTCCCCGCGCAGACAGTGAGCCGCCAGCAGGCAAGAAGGAAATGGCTTCCTGTCTGATAACCCCTGAGCCCCTGCACCTTGTGGGCGCTCAGGACACAGTACTGCAGAGGATCTGGGCTTTGAGAGGGAGCAGAGTAGAGTGCTGTGCATGGAGAGCAGACAAGGAGACACCTTGATGCTTCCTAGCCCCACCTGTCCCAGGAGGGCTGACTAAGAGCAGGCTGGAAGCGGTCTGCAGGGCTGTAGTAAATCCTGGTGAAACTCCCAACGTGGTCCTACCTCCAGCCGCCAGCATTTAGGGAGTAAACCCTGTTTGCATTTCTCTCCAGTCAGTCCCTGCATCTCCAGGGTCTCCTTTTGTGGGCATTGCTAGGACTGCAGCAGATAATCCTACCCAGACACCCCTCCCCACAAGACTCCTTCTCCCCAACATGGAGCAGCGTTAGAGCTTCAACCTCCAAGCTGTTGCAGGTTCCACATCTATCCCTTGGTCTGGGGTGGGAATTCCCATTGGGGCCGTTCTTGCCTGGTGGCCCCTGGACTGGTGGGTGAGCGTCTCCTGGTGCTGCCTCCAGCAGACATGAGCACTCAGATGAGTGTGTCAGAAGGAGTGCAGGCCTCTTTCTGGCTGTGCCCTAGCACTGAGTGTGTGTGTTCAAGGGCAGTGGGTTCCCTTGGCAATCCCCAGGGAGATGCCTGCTGGTGTTTCTGAGACAAAGCCGTGAGGGCAAGGGGTGGGCGGTGGCTACTGGAGAGTGACATCTCTCCGCCCCCAGTTAACCCCTGCAAGGGAGAGCTCCGGCTCCCAGTCAGAAGGCATTAAAAAAAGGCTCAGTGTGGTGGCTCACATCTGTAATCCCAGCACTTTGGAAGGCCGAGGTGGGTGGATCACCTGAGGTCAGGAGAGCAAGACCAACCTGGCCAACATGGTGAAACCCCATCTCTACTAAAAATACAAAAATTAGCCAGGTGTGGTGGCATGTGCCTGTAATCCCAGCTACTTGGGAGGCTGAGGCAGGAGAATCGCTTGAGCCTGGGAGGCAGAAGTTGCAGTGAGCAGAGATCGTGCCACTGCACTCCAGCCTGGGCGATGGAGCGAGACTCTGTCTCAAAAAAAAAAAAAAAAAAAAGGCTTACCAGTCCGGAGCATGAGTCAGTCACTTGGGTATCTCAGTCTCCCTGATTTAACTCTTTAGTTTCTTGCTGAGTGCCAGCTGGCACTTAAAATTCATCTTTCTTGGCAAACTTACTCCCCCGCCTCTGCACTTGGCATCAGCATCCAGCTAACCGGCCAGACAGAAATCTGAGCCCCTCTAGACCTGCTCCTTCCCTGAACGCCCCTGAAGTTAATCAGCTACCAAGTGTCATGGGCCCAACTTCCAAAATATCTCTCCCCAAATGAATCCCTTCTTCCCTCTGCAGGGGCCTCCCTAGAGAACCCAGGCCCCGTCATCTCTCTTGGATGAGGCAGCCTTCTCAGCAGATTCTCAGCCTGTTCTCACCCTGCTGGTGGACAGAGAACTCCAGAACATCAACCTGCTCACACTACTGCCCTGCTTAAAATCCCCTTCCCTGTCCTCACAGCCTTTGTGCCCTCACGGAACATGCAGTGAACGTCTCCTCTTACCCGTGGCCTTCAGGCAGGATCTTCCACAGGTCTCTCCTACCTACCCCTCTCTTCCTTTACTGCCCAGCACCCCACCACCTCACACTAGAGGATCTGGCTGACCATTTAGCTCCTCACAGGTGATGGGCACTCTCTCACCTCTAGACCTCTGGACATGCCATTCCCTCTGCTGGAGATACTCTTCTACCTCTCTTCCTTCTGATGTCTGCTGAGATACCACTTCCTCCAGGAAGCCCTTCCTGAAGCCTCTAACTGGACTAGATGCTCCTCTATGTTCCCACAGTCCTTTAGTCCTCTGCCATCACGGTACTTATCACAGTGGGGGGGCCACTGCCTGTTTCTTCGTGTGTCCATTCTATAAGATGGTAAGGCTTACGAGGCCTAGGACAGAGTCTTGTCTACTATTGTATTCAAGACTCTGTCCAAGGCCCAGCATACCATAGAGAAACAAGCCTGATGTCAGGGGAGCCTGCAGGGGCAGACTTACTAAACTCAGACAAGGAAGCCAGATGCCAGCAGCTGGACACAACTTGGCACGTGGGCAACATGACAGCGCATCCCGAGATATTCACCCCCTCCCGCAAGGACATGTGAGTGATCATCGACCAAAAGCAACTAAGAGGAGATGTAAGAGAAGCGACCAAGCTATTTTACCATTTCTGTTCAACCAAGGAAATGGAGCTTTCTTAGAAAAAACGCACATGGACCAAAAAAAGAAAGGAAAAACTCAGAAGGCAGTAGCTTCTTGGTTCATACAATCAATGTGCAAGTGGCAGAAGAGACACCCCTGGAAAGGACAGGCTTATCTTGGAAGGGAGATGACGGGGAGAGAGGGGAGATGATTCAGCACCAGAAAGGTGACTGTTTAGGTCAGTTTCCACTGGCTGGAGAAGTGTCCTTGATGCCTAGTCAGTGAGGTCCCACAGAAACCGCCGGGCGCTGGGCGGCAGGACACCTGGGCCCGCATGGTCCCACCACCAGCAGCTGTGTGAGCCGGGCAGGTCTCTACCTCCACCCCTAACACTTCACATCACACTCCCATCTGGATGATGAGCTTGAACCCCCAGGATCCAAGGGTCTGACTTACTCTCGCTCTGCCCTGTTGAGTGGGAAGTTGGGGATGGTCTCTGTTGGTCCACGGGGCAGAGGGGCAGCGGCTGGGGCAGGGGCTGGGGGTGGGCTGATTGTCTTGCTGGGAAGGAGCTGTTCAGAAATCTGCTTATGCCCCTCAAACTCCGAGCCAGGAACCACTAGGAAGGCAGAGAGAGAACCCAAAGTGAGTTTAAGCAGAGAGAAATTCCAAGCTCACACTCGTGCAGGTGGAATGACGGGGTAAACGAAGCGGCAGTGCCCAGTTCAAGGTCACAAAGGAAGCTCCCGATGAGGCCAGTGACCCACACTGACCTCCAAACCAGATCTAAATTTTGCTGGGAATGTGGGTGCTGAGCTGGGCCTGCTCTGCTGTTTCTAACCAGAACCTCTCCTCCCACCCACCATGACACCATCCAAGTCTTCAGGAACTCCCCCTGCAAAGAATTAATTGCTCCTTCACTTGGGTCCCTAAGACTTGATCACCTTACCATGTTGTTCTGGGGCTGGCTTCAGAACCTCCTCTGAAATTATAGTCACCTTTTTCCATGTACAGTATGCGTGTTTCTGGGGAGGGCATTAATAACTCTTAACCAATCTCCCAAAGGGATGGGTGACCAAAGGTTAAAAACCACTCATCTGGCCCATGCATTAAAAGCAATGAACTGGCCAGATACGGTGGCTCACACCTGTAATTCCAACACCCTGGGAGGCTGAGGTGGGAGGATTGCTTGAGCCCAGGAGTTCGAGACTAGCCTAGGTAATATAGAAAGATCCCATCTTTGCTGCAAAAAAACATTATACAAAAAAAAAAAAATTAGCTGGATGTGGAGGTACTCCCCTTTGGTCCCAGCTACTTGGGAGACTGAAAAGGGAGAATCGCTTGATCTGGGGAGGTCAAGGCTGCGGTGAGCCATCATGGCGCTACTGCACTGCAGCCTGGGTGACAGAGCGAGACCCCATCTTAAAAACAATACATAAATTAAAAATAAAAGCAATGAAATCCTTGGAATACTACTCACCAATATATAAAGGAGCTAACTATTGATACATAGAATAATCTAGGTAAATGTCCAGAGAATTATGCCGAGTGAAAAGCCAATCCCTGGGATACTATGTAATCCCAGGTTACATAGTGTATGATTCTATTTATAAAACATTCTTAACATGATGACATGATAGAAATGGAGGACAGATTAGTGGTTACCAGGGGTTAAGGACAGGCCGCAAGCAGGAGGGAAGTGGTGCTGTGAAAGGGCAGCATGGCGCTCCTTGTGGTGATGGGACATTCTGGATCTTCACTGCGTCATTGTCAACATCTGGCTATGACATTGTATTACAGTTTTGCAAGATATTATCATTGGGGGAAACTGAGCAAAGGCACATGGGATCTCTGTGTATTATTTCTTATAACTGCATGTGAATCCACAATTATCTCCAAATAAAAAATTTAATTAAAGGCTGGGCTGCTCTGCAGGTCATTTATAAAAGTACAGTGCAGGCCGGGGGCAGTGGCTCATGCCTGTAATCCCAGCACTTTGAGAGGGCGAGGCCGGTGGATCACCTGAGGTCAGGAGTTCAAGACCAGCCTGGCCAACATGGTGAAACCAAGTATCTACTAAAAATGCAAAAATTAGCTGGATGTGGTGGTGTGTGCCTGTAGTCCCAGCTACTTGGGAGGCTGAGTCATACATGCTGTCTGTTGTTGAACAAAACGTTGTCATGCAGTGCATGAGTGTGTGTAAATAAACACACATTTACATCGGCACAGAAAACAGCTAGCTCACAGCTTCTACACCAAAACGTCGGCACTAATGGTCTCCAGGGTATTTTTTTTCTTTTGTTCCCTTTTGCCCACCTTATCTGTAATTTCAAATTTCCGTACAAGGGACCTGGCTGATATGTTATATCCTAAAGGGTTCCACAAGTTGTTCTGTTTGATGTTTCAATCCACACAGTTCTGGCCAGGCCAGACTCCTGCACTCACCCATCTCTGTGGCCAATGCCCGCTCCAGGCTGCAGTTGGGTACCCTCTGAAGGAGAGGCCCACTTGGGCAGGAGAGATGCCTCTGTGCTCGGCTCCGGGGTGTGCTGGGCTCTGTGGCTCTTCTGGGAACCAGAGAACCCCTGGCCTTGGGGTAGGAGCCTCCATCCCTGGGCACAGATGCGGTGAAGGGCTGGGCTAATGTCCCTGCTGTGCTGGGGGACCGTGGAGGAAGGGACACACGGAGGTCACACAGAGCGAGACGCTCAGGTGGCATCTGAGCCCCTCCACTCGCTAACCCAATGCACTCCCACCCTTTGTGACTTCACACCCCTGGTGGTACCCTATTTCCAAGGACACACACAAACATTGGATGCCCACTTCTTTGTAAACTGTACACTGGCCAACCAATATGTAAAATAATAAAGCTCAATTTATGTTTAGAATACATAAAGACATAAAGAGAGGCCGGGTGCGGTGGCTCACGCCTGTAATCCCAGCACTTTGGGAGGCTGAAGCAGGCAGATCACGAGGTCAGGAGACCGAGACCATCCTGACCAATATGGTGAAACCCTGTCTCTCCTAAAAATACAAAAATTAGCTGGGCATGGTGGTGCATGCCTGTAGTCCCAGCTACTCAGGAGGCTGAGGCAGGAGAATCACTTGAACCCGGAGGTGGAGGTTGCAGTGAACTGAGATTGTGCCACTGCACTCCAGCCTGGCAACAGTGAGACTCCATCTCAAAAAGAAAAAAATAGGACTTCTAATCCTTCCTTTTCATGTACCCTGGGGCTGTCACATCGGCCTCCTGAAGGGCCTGCACCCAGCTTTGGAGGCTCCATCCCTCCACCCTTCAGCCCTGTCCCCTCCGCCTTCTCCCTTCCCTTTGGGTTCCATGTAGCCACCCTGAGTGCCCTTTGTCCTCATCTTCTGTTTACCTCACAGTGCCCTCCCTGTAGTTTTGTTTTTTTTTTTTTGAGACGGAGTTTTACTCTTGTTACCCAGGCTGGAGAGCAATGGTGCAATCTCGGCTCAATGCAACCTCTGCCTCCTGGGTTCAAGCAATTCTCCTGCCTCAGCCTCCTGAGTAGCTGGGACTACAGGCATGCACCACCATGCCCAGCTAATTTTGTATTTTTAGTAGAGACAGGTTTTAACCATATTGGTCAGGATGGTCTCGATCTCCTGACCTCGTGATCTGCCTGCTTCAGCCTCCCAAAGTGCTGGGATTACAGGCGTGAGCCACAATGCCCAGCCCTCCTTGTAGTTTTTATTCATTCATCCATTCAATTGCTCAACAAAAATTAATTTCCCAGTCTGTCGCTAACTGGCTGTATAAGGCTGGACTAGTCACTCCCCTCCCTGAAGCTCTGTCAATAACATGGGAACAAGAAATCATGGTCGGGGGAATGAATGAGGCCCTATGAATGGCCAGATCATCCCTCTTATTCGGGGCCATAACGGGCACTGTGATTCCCAGGCTGTTCCAGGTATGTGGCACTGACAGGACAATGGCGGGATCCCAGGATACCTGATGTGGGAGAGCCGGTGCTCTGGAGTCTGGGTGAGGGGTGAGACTCTGCTTGTTTCTGAGCCCACAAAGCCACTGTCTGTCTCCGGGAACGCCATCCAGGGCTCCTGAAAGAGGCAGTATCCCTTTATGTCTGCGGAAGGTCCCCAAGGCGGCCTGGGAAGCCCTTCCCAAATCCTGGCCTGGGCCTCACCTCCCAGAGGCTCATGCACCAAGGAGGCTGGCCGACCTCCCAGCAGCCAGGCTCTGGGGTGAGGGCCCTCAGGCTCTCAGGCCCCAGCACAAGAATCTGGCTACCAGCAGGGACTCCACACCCCAGGAGGACCCTGAGCGAGTCTTGCCTCCCTGAGAAGTGGCAGCCAGAGCCCTTGGGAGAGATATGGCCGTGGACAAGGACTAGCAAGGGGAGAGGGAGAAAGCCTTATTTCCCATGTCTCCTGGCTTAGGCCTGGAGTCCTATAGTCTTCTCTGACTGCGGAAATGCTCAGGCCCAAGGCATTGGAAAAACAAAACCATCAAATATGCACAGGCCCTACCCACTGGGTTTCATGAACAGCACAAAGAACACAAACAGCAACACGGGTGCCTGCCCTCGGTGAGTTCACATCTAGTGCAGAAATTCCTGATCATGGGCTCATTAGGACTACAGAAGCGTATGTGTGCGTGTTTGTGCGTGCATGCACATGAATGTACATATATGCATTATTGTGTGACAGTCACATTTCCATCATGGTCTGTGACTTTGCGGCAGTGATCTCTGCTCTAAAGGGTGTAGAACTCCCCAGCTGTGATGAGCAGGCTCAGGGACGTACAAGCAATGGGCTCCAAGCTCTCAGAGGAGGAACAAGAGCTCTGGAAGTGTGACAGGATGCGGGTGGCACTGGGCATAAGTCCTGTATGTCAGGTGGGATTGTGGCTGGCAGGGAGGGACAGGAGCAGCAGGTATTCCAAGAAGGAAGAGCACAAGGAAAGACCCAGAAGCAGAAAGTTGAGGTTCTGGGCCCATTCCCCCACGGGGAGACTTACCTCCAGGTGGGGCCCACCGGCTTGGTGCAAAGGCTTCTGTGCAAGGCGCTCAGAAATGCCACTTTCCTCCAGGCTGGTCATACTACTTTGGTGGGATGCTGCAGACTTGGTGCCCGGAGGGTGGGGTGCCCTAGCATGGAGTGGCATGCTAGGGCCTGGAGGGGCTGCCTCAGCCTTGCCCAGGCCTGACATGTGCCCGTCTCTGGCCAGGGATGTCTGGAAACCTGGTGGCTTCACAGATTCCATCTGCTCTGTGGCCTCCCTGGCATGGGAGAGAAGAGCATCATCCCTGAGTTCTGCCGCAGGCCAGGCAGTCCTGACGTGGGGGTTGGCCTGTCTTGTGAGCCAAGCAGTCCAGAACACAAGCTCCAGAGTCAGACACCCCTGGCTGCCCAGCCTGGTTCTGCCACCCCTCTAGCTGTGTGTCCTAGGGCAAGGCACTTCCCCTCTCTCGACCTCACTTTTCTCAACTGTAAAATGTGGATGCCAACAAAACCCACCCAATACACCACGGAGGGAATGCTAAAGCAGCATTTCCCAGACTTGAGGAGTTTACCGTCTTCCCTATTTCATCCATTTCCATAAACTTCCAGCCACTCAAAAGATTTTAGATCACTATTAAAAACAGAAGATCGGGGCTGGGTGCACTGGCTCACGCCTGTAATCCCAGCACTTTGAGAGGCTGAGGCAGGTGGATCACCTGAGGTCAGAAGTTCAAGACCAGCCTGACCAGCATGGAAAAATCCCATTCTACTAAAAATACAAAAATTAGCTGGGAATGGTGGCAGGTGCCTATAATCCCAGTGACTTGGGAAGCTGAGGATGGAGAATTGCTTGAACCCAGGAGGTGGAGGTTGCAGTGAGCCGAGATCACGCCACTGCACTCCAGCCTGGGTGACAGAGCGAGACTCCATCTCAAAAAAAAAAAAAAAAAAAAAAAAAAAAAAAAAACCACAAAACCCAAAACAGAAGATGGGTGTGTTATGTGACAAATAGAAACTAACTTTGAGGATAAATACAAGAAACCTGAACATTATCATATACTACATAGATTCATTTGCCTGCTACAGGTTCTAGGCATGAGGGCGGCTTGCATGCTTTCACTCTCGTCTCTCTCTTTTTCCACAGAAGATCGAGAGAGGCATTAAAGTCACCACAGCACTAACTGAGACTTTCTCCTTTGTATCATTGGAAGGTCAGAAATAGAAAAGGAGAATAATATTTTTTTTTCTTTTTTTTTTGAGATGAGGTCTCACACTGTCACCCAGGCTGGAGTGCAGTGGCCCGATCTCAGCTCACTGCAACCTCCGCCTCCTGGGCTGAAGAGATCCACCTACTTCAGCCTCCCAAACAGCTGAGACTACAGGGGTGTACCACCATGCCTGGCTACTTTTTGTATTTTTTGTAGAGATGAGGTTTTGCCATTTTGCTCAGGCTGGTCTTGAACTCCTGGGCTCAAGTGATGCACCTGCCTTGGCTTCCCCCAGTGCTGGGATTACAGGCATGGGCCACTGTGCTGAGAATACTGTTCTTTAGAGCTGCATCTGTCTTACTGAAAATCATGTCCCACACTACCCAAAATCACTTCAAGGGCTATCAGTGGTAAACACTCCACACCACGAAGAGGCAGGACGGGAAGCCATGTGTAAACTGCGAAGTGCTGCCTTACTCACTCTGACAGTGGTCACCCCTGTGGTTTTAGGGTGGAACTGGACATTCTGCAGGAAAGGCTCAGCGACTTACTCCAGGGGAGCCCCATGACTTTTCTCAGCCTGCACCAGACACTGCCTTGGGAGGACCCCGGTGGCCTCTGCCTTCCCTGAAGCTGCAGCCACCCCATCAACTTCCAAGGAGTCGCCTCCCTCCTCCTCCTCCTCTTCCTCCCCTTCTTCCTCCTCCTCCACCCTCACGGCTTCCGGGAGAGACTTCACACCGAGGGACCTGCAGAAGAACACACAGAGGGGCATGACCTCTGCCCAGTGGGGGACCACCAAGATCCAGCTGCTGGCCGGACACAACAGTCAGGTCCAGGTGGCACTCACCGCTCCAAGAGGCCATGGAGAACTTGCTCCATCTGCAGCTCCTTGTCCCTGAGCAGGGCCGGGGGGTCCTGCAGCCTGTCCTCCACCTCATTGTTGCCAGAGCTCACCTCGACATTCACATGCAGTGGGTAGGGGCCAGTGCTGGAGGCAGCAGTGGTGGTGGCAGGCTGGGGTCAGAGAGATGGAGGGACAGAGATTCAGCAGATACTTCAACACTACTTTTAAGCACCTACCTCCTGCCAGGCTCATGCTGGGGGCTGAAGAGTAAGAAGCACATTAGACTCACTACGCCCACCACCCTTTCATGTGTGTGTAAACTATGGGGACTGGGCTATGTGGTCTTCCATACTGGCTGCCATGAATTGAGCACCTACTATGTGCCAAGCACCATAGAGATATCACATCACAACACCACCAGTACCTACAATTATCACAACCCATTTTACAGACAGGTAACTCATGCTCAAATGATTTGCCCAAAGTCAACAGAAACAAGGAGCAGAGTTGAGATTTGAACCTAGACTTCCTGCCAGAGTCAACACTCCTGACCCCCATCCATTCCAGTGTAGCCACCACAGCCCCCTGCAATACCTTCACTGAAGAGCACAAGGGTCCCTCAAGATAAGGTACTCAGGTTTTCTCCCCATTCATGCATGTAGTGATGCCTGGTAGAGTCTTCCTACCCTCTAGGACAGAGCACCGCATAAGATTTTCCCCAAACCATGGGGCCAGTAAGGCCTCAGCTGTCAGGGATGTCCTACCAGAGCCCCACCCTACCCAGCATGCTGGGCTCTCTCTCCTGCTTCTATCCCCAACAGCCAAGCCTTTGCAGCACAGGCAACAGGAGCTGAGAGGCATAGAGACCCCACCACTGTCATCTGTGTCAACGCACTACATTCAGCTTGCTTGTCTGCAAAACCGAGATAGTGGTTGTCTCTCAGGGGGTCGTGGTGTGGGCCGGAGAGACTCCTACAAAGCCCCTTTCGTGTTGGGCTCTTGTCTCGGCTTTACCCCATCATCTGTGCTGTACTACAAGCTAGAGTTGGGAGCCATCTGTGTGTCCCTTCCCTCTCACGGCCGCTCCAAGTCCACTCAAACATGCCTTCCCAACCTCTCTCAAATCCACATGTGCTTCTCCATTTGCCCTGCCACCTACACAGCCTCAGACTGGCCTACCCACTAGTCATCTTAAGTCATCCCCCACCAGAAAACCCAGCAGAGTTTAAGACCACGCTCTCTATGTGGCCCACCAGACCCTACATCATGGGGTCCCCTCCTGCCTCTCCAGCCACACCTCAGACTATTTTTTCCTTCTCTTCCCATACTCTAGCCACAGGGCCTTTGCACAGGCTGTTTTCCCTGCTGGATGCCTTTTCTCTTTCTGTCTCTGGTAATTCCTATTTAGCCTCAGGTCTCCTTTAAACATGACTTCTTCAGGGAAAGTTTCTCTGACCTTCTCCTCAAACTCAATCATGTTACTCCCGCTATCTACTCTCACAGAACCCCATAATTCTCCTTCAGTGAAGTAATAATTATAACTAAATCACTGTCACTAGTTCAACTCTGCAGGAAACTGTGAAGGTAGAGGCCACCTTCCCCACCACCTCCCATCCCACTGAGTACCCACCATGTGTCATGGGTCCTGGCATATGGTACACATTTCATAAATATGCAATATGTACTGAAGAAATGAATTAATGAAGAAATGAATGCACAGGGGAACAGCCCAATATGGTTGAGCAAAGAGGTACCTCATAGCGGGAGGTCTTGATGGCTGGCGTAGGGGCTTGTCCGGAAGAAGCTGGCAGGTGCTTTGGCTGGTGGGGGTAGGGCAGGGCTGGGGAGCTGTCCAGAGCTGAGTCTGACTGGGGCAGCTCAGGCTCTTGCTGGGTCTGGTCTATGTGTTCCTTCAGCTCTTCCAGGCAACTTCCCAGATGGTAAATCTCTGCCTCCAGCTCCCTGGAATGCAGAAACATCAGTGCCAGGAGCCCAAGATGGCAGCCCCATCAGGCAGGTCTGGGAGAGAGTGTCAGAGCAGGGACTCCAGGGGTTGGCCCTTTGGGGTCCATTTAGCATCAGCCTTTAGATGATGGTGAGAACTCAAAATAAATAAACAAGATGAAAGAATGTTCCACTGGGAATCAGGAGGCCTCAGTCCAAGTCCCCTCTGCCATCCACAGGCTGTGGGAATTTAGATAAACCCCACTCCCCTCTAGCCTCAGTTTCCCCATAGTCCAACAAGGGTTTCAGCTCTTATTGCCAAGGGGTCTTCTCAGCACATGAGTCCAAAGGGCTCAAATCTCAGCTTCTGAGTGTGCCACCATTTGGATGTGTTGCTAATTAGGATAGGATTTCTCTCTGTTCCCTCGTGTATAAATCATAAGGACAAAGTGTCTCCCTCCTGGAGACTGAGGGACTCCAGGGACCCCTCCCATCTGTCCTTCCAGGCCTTCCTCCCCAGCAGGTACCTGCCAGGATCAAATCTCCCAGGTGTCCCCATGGAGCCGGCAAGTGGCTGGTCAGCGAGTTGCTCCCGGCAGGCCTTCAGGTACTCCTCCTCCAGGGCTGCGTGGGCAGCCTTCAGCTGCAGGAAGCCCTGAAACCAGACCAGGCCAGGAAGACTTGAGTGCTCAGCACCCCCAGGGCCTGTCTCTGCAGACACAGTGGATGAGACAGCTTGCGGGAGGCCATGGGAGGCGCCTGGGCCCCTGAGTTCATGCGAGATACAGTCTGGGGTTGAGAACTCTGGAGGCTGCTTGCTTTGAAGAGCTGCCGTGGCCAAGCTCTCTGTCATCAGACTGGCACAACAGAGACACCACTTAGAGTCTTGGCACCAGCTTCAGAGGGCACCAGCCCTTCCTGGGTAGACTTACAAGGACCCCAAAGTACCACAAACTGTCATAGCTGTCACAGTGTCAAATATACTCTCACTATATCTCCGTAAGGACCTACTACTTGAGAGACTCTGGATCCTCATTCTTGATTTACAGAACTGTGGGCTTCAGAAAATTAGCCACTCTTTCCCCAAATTCTTACAGATTAGCAACACAGATAATGTTATCATCACCATCACATGATAGAGCTTACTGAGCACTGAGGCTCTGTGCTAAAGCACTTTGCATTTATTTCACCTTCAATATAATCGTCATGAGAAGGGTAATTTATCATCTTCATTTAAAAAGAATGAAACTGAGGCACAGAGAGGTCGTTTAAGTCGTTTAAGTGAGTGAGCTGTAGAGACAAGATGTGGGCCCAGGCCCTCTGGCCCCAGAGCTCATGGTCCTAGCAATTCTGCTAGGCTTGTGTGTTAAATATGATCACAGGTAATGCATGGCTAAAGCTGCAGGAATTGGGATTGGTAACACTCTCTTTTTTATTTTTATTTTTTGAAACGGAGTCTTGCTCTGTTGTCCAGGCTGGAGTACAGTGGCACAATCTTGGCTCACTACAACCTCCTCCTCCCAGGTTCAAGTGATTCTCCTGCCTCAGCATCCTGAGTAGCTGGGATTACAGGTGCCTACCACCACGCCCAGCTAATTTTTGTATTTTTAGTAGAAACAGGGTTTTACCATGTTGGTCAGGCTGGTCTCGAACTCCCGACCTTGTGATCCACCTGACTCAGCCTTCCAAAGTGCAGGGATATGGCGTGAGCCACCGTGCCCGGCCAGTATCACTATCTTACTACCATCCGCAACCCACTCAACTCTGAGAACAGACCGAGGCCAAGGGCAACCTAGAACCCACTCCCTGGTCACATCTACTCTTCTGACAGCTCTCAACTTCCCTGTATATGGTGGAATTAGAACAGAGAGTAAAAAAATGAATGGTTTTAGTTTATAAGGTCCTTGGTCATTTACTGGATGATACTACATGATACACACCCCACATCTTGTGACTGGAAAATGTATGTATACATACATATATAACCACAGAGGAAAATGTTCCTGCCATAACACTTTTTTAGAAACTAGGTGTGTTGCATTTACCTCTCCAGACCTTCTCCCAGCTCCTCTCCCACCCTGCTCTGTGCTTTGAGCACCACGGCTTTCTACCTGCTGGCTTCTGGTTGGGTCTGTCTAGTGGGAGGAACCTATCAGAGATCGCAGGGTGGGAAGAGAGAGACTTGAGAGGCGGAACAGCTAATGCTACTCCCTGGGGATCCTCCAGCCTTTGTTGGGTCCCCTGATGCTGCCCACACCTGTGCCGACAGTTCCTTCCTTTGACCTCCACACTCCCAGATTTGAAAGCTTCCCCTGTTCCTTACTGGGACTCTGGCTGATGCAGCAGGAATCTAAATGGTATTTATGACCACAGTTATCTAAAACACCAAATTCCAAAAGGAAATACACCAGTACAGATTCTAGAAAGTGTCTCCCCGCTCTGCTTTCTTTTAACCTTGTTCTCAAACTTTGGGCAACTACTTTTGTAATTTTTTTTAAAGGCAATAAAAAAGAAGAGGCCTGTTTCTGCCTGCTGAGAGGCAGGATACTTTGTGGAGGTAGTGATTATGAGCCTGGATCTGGGAGGCAGACAGACCTGGCTCCAGGTTCTGCTACCTACTAGTTGTATGGCCTTCAGGTTGCCTCTCTGAGCTTTAGTTCCATCCTGGTTAAATGAGGGCGATTACTGTAACTGCTTCACTGGGTTTTGATGATGATAAAATAACATACATTAGGGTTTACCACAGTCCCTGGCACACAAACATCCTTGCTTAGTAAGTGGTAACTACTGTGATATAATCATTATCATGGGAAGCTAAGCAGGAGCTGTTTGCTCTAAAGAAAGTGACTGGGCTTCTTTTTCCCATTTTGCAGCAAAAGAGGCATCAGAGACAGAGCCATGGAGGACAGTAGCTGTCTGGCAGTTCCACAGGCAGCTCCTCAATTGGGCAGTACCTTGAGTTGGTCCTGGGGCATGAGCCGTCCTGCCTGTATCAGTCTTTCAAAGGACTCCACCTGGACATTGGGAGGGGAAAGAAATATGCTCCATTAATCCAGTCCTGCAGACTCCCACACCCAGCCACATCCATGCTTTAGTAAGAGGAGCTGGGTCTGTCCTCAGGATGTGGGGTTTCTGCCAAGCATGGAGAGGTGGGTGCTGGGAACAGCCTCTACCACCAGCCCCAGGCATGGCAGCCTTGAGAAAAATCAAAGTGGAACCTGCTGGATTTTACTGACGACAGAGAAACTCGCTCATGTGCATGAAGCCTAATGAGCCAGAATATTTAGTGCAGCACCAACAGTAGGGAGGGGACAAGAAACAGCCTAAATGCCTGTCTGTGGAATAGTATGCAGCCATCAACATGAGGAAGGCACGTGCCTATGTTCTGAGCTATTAATACCTCCAAGACCTGCTTTTCGGTGTCAAATCAAGGTATAGGGCAATGTTTATGGTATGCGGCCATCTGTATAAAATACGTAGAGAATAAAAAGGAAAACTAAAAATACATTTGCTTATATATGACACACTATCTCTATAGGGCTTCAAGAAACTAAAATATTGTTTCTTAACAGTTAATTTATTTAATTATTACTTAATAATTAATTTATTAACAATTAAACATTCATCGTTCAGGAGAACTGGGGGGCTGGAAGACAGGGATGAGAAGTAGATTTTTCTACTACATGTCCTCTGCTTCCTTTGAACTGTGAACAATGTGAATTCATTGCCTGCCCAAAAATAAATTTCAAATTTAGGAGTTCAAAAAGTCAAGGTACAGTAGCTTATGCAACCATTTCTATAAATGCGAGTGTGTGCAGTGAACGTTTTTGCATGGGTTGGAGAAAAGATTTCATTTTTGCTCAACATGCCCTCTGTGCTGTGCAAGGGTCCTTATCACGGGGTTCTATTACCCACTCCAAACAAAAAACCAAAAAACATTTAATTGGAAAAAAGGCAACGGAGGCTGCATGTGGTGGCTCGCGCCTGTAATCCCAGCACTTTGGGAGGCTGAGGTGAGTGGATCACAAGGTTAAGAGATGGAGACTGTCCTGGCCAACATGGTGAAATCCCATCTCCATTAAAAATACAAAAAAATTAGCTGGGCGTGGTGGTGTGTGCCTGTAGTACCAGCTACTTGGGAGGCTGAGGCAGGAGAATTGCTTGAAACCAGAAAATGGAAGTTATAGTGAGCCGAGATTGCGCCACTGCACTCCAGCCTGGTGATAGAGCGAGGAAAGGGATGATTTGAGGTTGTTTTAAGAATGATCTAGATCAGCATGAAATGTAATATAGAAATGTATATAATATAATCATATTTTATATAATGCATATAATATGTAAAATAGAAATACAGTGTGAGCTACACACGTCATTTGTAATTTTCTCAGCACCACCCTGAGAATGTAAAAAGAAACAGGTAAAATTAATTTTAATAATATATTTTATTTATTGAAATTATCATTTTAATGATATAATTTCAACGTGTGATCATTTCAACATGTAATCAATATAAAAAAATAGGGAGATATTTTATATTCTTTTTTCTAAGTCTCTGAAATCTGGTATGTGTTTTATACCCACAGCACACCTCAATTCAGAGCAGATGATGTCAAGTACTCAACAGCCACGTGTGGCCAGTGGCTTCGGAATTGGACCATGCAGCCCTAGATCATGAGGGTTCAGCTAAGGCCCTAGCTCCTGGTCAGTGTGATGATTTGACATCACTTTATTTTCTGGACAATAGGTAAGACGAAGAAGAAATGTGTCTCCAGCTATGGAACCAAGTATGGTGGTGGCAAAAAGATATGAAGTCTATAATCCCAGTAGTTTGGGAGGCCGAGGCGAGTGGATCACCTGAGGACAGAAGTTCGAGACCAGCCTGGCCAACATGGTAAAACCCCCGTCTCTACTAAAAACACAAAAATTAGCCAGGTGTGGTGACTGGCATCTGTAATCCCAGCTCCTAGGGAGGCTAAGGCAGGAGAAACGCTTGAACCTGGGAGGTGGGGGTTACAGTGAGCCGAGATGGCGCCACTGCACTCCAGCCTGGGCAACAGAGAGAGTCTCTGTCTCAAAAAAAAAAAAAAAAAAAAAAGAAATGAAGTACTTGTATGTATGTGCTGTTCCAACGTGGATGAACTTTGAAAACATGGCAAGTGATGGACGTCAGACACAGGACAGATATTGCATTAATCTATTGCTATGAAATGTCAACAGTAGGTAAGCCCATAAAGACAGGAAGCAGATGAGCAGTTGCTAGAGGCTGGGGGAAGAGGGAATGGGGAGTGGCTGCCTAATAGAGATGAGGTTTCTTAGTGGGTGATGAAAATGTTCTAAAATTGATTGTGGTGATGGCGGCAGAACTATGAAGATACTAAAAACCACATACACTTCAAGTGAATCAATTGAATGGTATGTGAATTACATTTCAATAAAGCAAAGGAGGGGAGGGGAAAGGGGAGGGCAGGGGAGAAGGGAAGGGTGGAGAGAAAAGGGGAGGGGAGGAAAGATGGGGAGGAGAGGGGAAGAGAAAGCAGTAGAGGGGAAAGGAGAGGAGAGGAGGGGAAGGGAGAGGAGGGGAGGGAAGGGAAGGGAAGAATAGCGTGGTGGGGATTCTCTGAAATAATTTGTTTTATGGACATGGTGGTGTGTGTAACTATGGCATTTCTCTTTTTGCATTGGCAGCTCGGAAGATCAAAGGTAAATGTGCGACTCTAATGTGCTTAAAGTCCAGCAGAATATTTTATTTACTCACTTCACATACTTTATTTTTTTCTACCCTTACTTCCTCTCCGCCCCCGTTTCCTTGCTTCTGTTTTCAGAATGGGGTTAAAACGTATGTATTTTCATAAGGTACTTTAAAGAACTTCTAGAATAAAGCCAATGTACAGTTATAAACAGACCTGCAAACAATCCACAGTTACTTGGACTGTTGGATGGAGATACAAAGACCCTTGAGAAGTAACTGAGAATTGATTTATTTAATAAAATAAACTAAGAAAGTGAGGCAACTTATCCTGAAGAGGAAAAGGCAGAGTGGAGATTCTGTTACCCTTCTGGAACCCTGCAAGAGCTTAGAGTCTCCTGGGAATCACCCTAGAGACACTTTTAAGCACAACTGGAGGGACTTTGATGAGACGCATCGCCAAAAGGGGCGTTAAACCTAGCACTGGTGACAAGGAGGAGCTGGAGCTGTGTGGCCTCTAAAACCAGGGAGGGGTTCATGTTTTGGGGACAGCTGAGTTAACTTGGTGCAGAGGCAGGGGAATGATGAGGGAGGCTCCCAGAGCACCTCTCACCCAAGCAGGCAGAGGTTCTGTGTTCTCCAGGTGGGTTAAGTCTCTCGAGGGCAAAGCTGGGAGTCCACTCACCTTGGCCAGGAACTGTCGGGCCTGAGAAGCCAGTGCCTGGGTCTGCTCTTCTGAGGACTGGTCCTTGGAGACGCCCCCATTCTCTGGAAGCCACCCTAGGTTGGGCTTGCTGGTGGGCGAGGAGGGGCTCAGGTCTCCTCGAGCTGATGGCCACCCTGGAATACACAAACGCTGAAAGCAGGGGCCAAGAATAGTCCTTCCAGGGGCTAAAGGGCTGAGGCTGAACCTCAAGGCCAACACCTCCGTCATCAAGTTCCAGCTCAGTCATCATGTGCTATCTTCACATCAGCCCCAGGAAGTGGGCTGGGCAGAGCGTCGTCCCCCATTTACAGCAGAGAACAAGGCCTAGATCTGACCTAGGTCACATGGCTGGCAAGGGCAGAGCTATGCCAGGCCTCTGGGCTCCCAGTCAAGTGAGGCTCTCACACAGGGAGACGTGGGTTCAAGTCCAGACACCTCTCCTCCATAGCTGTGTGAGCTTCAGTGTGTCCTCACCTCTCCGAGCCTTGGTCCCCTTGACTGTCATGGGTGTGACTACAGTGTGAACCTCAACGGGCTGTTGTGGGGATTAACTGAGATCACATGTGTCAAGGCTTAGCGCAGGGCCTGGCTGAGATATGGGCTCCCTAGGGACAATGCTCCATGTTTTCAACTCACCCAGGATCACCAAGATGCCAAGTGGCAGGGCCAGGGCTGCCCCATGCTGCTGTGGCTCAAAACAGGACACTTTCTACATCTCTGACCCCCTTTGAGTCAAACTGTCCAGAGTGGGGCCTTGCCTCCCTCCTTCCCCTGGCCTGAGGCCAGTGCCATTCCCAAGGTGATGCAGTGGGCCCCACAGAGCAGAAGCCCAGGCAGGAGGGGCCTCCAACACACCTCTTCTCCGGGACTCACCTGAGGCCACAGAGGTCTGGGGGTCCTCAGCCGGGCCCGGCCACCACTCCGCTGAGCGGGGCTGTGGGATGGTGAAGGACAGGACCTTGGTCCCCTGCGGTACCATTCCTGTGTGGATGCTGCGGCTGGGCTGGGGTGGGTCAGAGAACAGGTTCACCTGTGGGAGTGGGGAGGCATGGCAGAGCCAAGTCAGGACAGGGACAAACCCACCCGAACGCCTCATCTTCATCCAGGAGCTCAACACACATGCCCTGCAGTAATAAACACCATCTTTCAGTGCAGCCCTTGGCTGGGTCAAACACAGGTGAAGAACTCCATGCCCTTTCATTTACTCTTAATGGCAGTCCTGAAAGGAAGACAAGGTGGGGACCCCAACGCCCCACTATATAGAAGAAAAAACCGAGACGCAGAGAGGTTATTAAGTCACTTACTCAAAATCTCCAGCTGACAAGTCCTTGGGTGAGGATTACAACACTGCTCTACCTGACCCCAACATCTGTGGTTCTACTATATTGTTTTTTGGGGGTTGGAGTTTCACTCTTGATGCTCAGGCTGGAGTGCAGTGGTGCAATCTCAGCTCACTGCAACCTCCGCCTCCTGGGTTCAAGGGATTCTCCTGCCCCAGCCTCCTGAGTAGCTGGGATTACAGGCATGCGCTACCATGCCTGGCTACTTTTGTATTTTTAGTAGAGACAGGGTTTCTCCATGTTGGTCAGGCTGGTCTCAAACTCCTAACCTCAGGTGATCCACCCACCTCAGCCTCCCAAACCACTGGGATTATAGGCGTGAGCCACTGCGCCCCGGTTGGTTCTACTATTAACAGTAACTCTTAATTAATAATGTGGGTTATAATTATATCATACTATACAATATAACATGTAATTATTTCTTAACGCATATAAACATTTCCAACAATTGTTACATTGAAAATAATAGCAGCTAACAGCTGTTCAAATGAATGAGTGAAACAGGAAACGAACAAACTGATCTGCCATTGGTAGCAGATCTCTCTCACTTGAGGGCAGATTTAACCTGGCCGTTGGTGAGGGAGCAGTCTGGAGTCAGGCAGATGACTAAGGAAGATTTTGAAGCTTGAAAGCAGGGGAAACCACATGCTGTTCAACCACTTTGAGCAGAGTTTGGAGAGCTATGTTCTGCTTTTGTAAATAAGGTTTTATTGAATGTAGCCATGCCTATTTGTTTATGTGTTGTCTATGGCTGCTTTCACACTCTGGTGGCAGAGTTGAGTAGTTGTGACAGAGACTATATGCTCCAGAAAGCTAAAAATTTTCACAATCTGGCCCTTCACAGAGGAAGTTTGCCAACCGTGGCTTAGCATGTGGGCTTGCAGTCAGAGCCCACATGCTAAGTGGGCTGTCCGGGTTCTACCATGGCAAACCTCCAAGTCCTAGTTGGCTTAATAACCTCTCTGTGCATGAAATAAGTGCCCTGACCACGACCCTGACATTCATCACCATCATCAGCAGCACCACTGTCATCAGCACCAGCATCATCACATCACCATCATCATCAGCACTACCATCATCCGCACTACCATCATCACATCACCATCATCACCAGCATCATCACATCACCATCATCACACCACCATCATCACCACCATCATCACATCACCATCATCACACCACCATCATCACACCACCATCATCACCACCATCATCACATCACCATC